AGGCTCGGCTGACTCCTTGTTGTCCAGCGGCAGGTTCATCACCGTCCATAGCGACCACATCAGAAACATCATCAGAAAGTGGGGTCTCTATTACCTGCTCGCTCGCTCGCTCGATCGCTTCGTTCGTCGTCGTTGTCGTCGAAACCGTGCTCCAGCCGAAAAAGCAGCTGGTTGGTCTGCTGAAGCCGTCTACAATACCTCGTTTGTCGTTTTCTCATCTTCGCCTTCGTCTGACTCGCTGTTGCGACTGGTGTCATCTTTGTTGCGGCTGCTAATGCCAACCCACGACGCCTCTCATAGTCAACACCAAAAGAAAGACGAAGTACATCGTTGTTTGCGTCAGAATGTCGCTGCGTCGTTGGTCAGTCATCATGCATAAGCGCACGCACGCACGGACGCACGCACACGCACACACACACACACATAAACACACACACACCCACACACACAGAGACACACGCACACACACACACACCCACATACACACATAAATGGCACATGTCGACTAGGCATAGTTTTCTACCCAACCATTGCGCCCCAATATCTTGCGTGAGCTCTGCTCCTGTGGGCCAACGTTACTCACTTACGCACGGCAACTTACAACTAAGTTAGGAAGGAACGACCGGCTACCATTCCACTCGTTCTTTTTCCTTCACCGCCTCTTATAGCCTGTGCTTATATGTAAACCGACATATCTAGACAGAAGTGTTCCCTACTCAGCTCACGAACGGCGGACGATAGCGAAGATGACGTAGCGGAGCAATGACAAACGCAACGTGCTAAAGATGGCAGAAGCACCGGTGGCAGCGGCGGCGGCGGCAGCGGCAGCAGCAGAAGCGGTAAAAAAGGGAGGGGACATCGAAAACGGTAGTGAAATAATCGTCTGCAGCAAGGAACCACGGAAAGCAGGAAAGCGGGGAACAGTCAAAAAGAAACGAAGTTTGGAGCGATATGGAGGTTAATGAAAACGGGACGAGGGGGTGCGTAACCCGGGCACCTCGGATGCTTCTGTTGATCAACTTGCAGACGGCGTGAAACCAATAAAGATTCGTTCATTTACACAGAGGAAGCTTGGGGTTTTTAGACTCGCGACAACATCTTTGGCCCGCGTTTATGTTGGTTAGAGACAGGTAGAGACGTGAAAGTATCAGTAAACAGATAACTGAGTGAAGAATATGCATAGCGATCGGCATAAAAGTCACTAGCAGTGCTGGAAGTAATAGTTGGTCTTCACGATGATCGCTTGTAGAAATGTCGCTGTTACTGCTGCTGCTGCTGCTGATTTCACCCCCTACTCTTACTGTTCTGTGTGTGGTGCAATTTAGGACGGTGATTACCTGTCGCATGACATCAATTTTTAGATGAGTGTCACTAGAACAGTCCATCAGCGCCGCCTTACAATGAGAACACCTAGCGAAACATATTTTTCTAGTAAGCCTTTAAGTGTCTCGCAAGTAAATAAAGGGAAACATATGCGTTTTTTGATGTTGAAGACGCCTTAAAAAATAGCGAAATATTTAAATATTATACTGTAGTTATTTCACGTATGCTGACGATACGCACCCTAAGTGACCACCTTTCTATTGCTTGGAGCTCAATTAAATAATTTCCACTCCAGACGATACGCTCCATCGGATTCTTCCGAAGAAGTAATGCCCAAAAGGCAAACTTAGAAAATAATAAAGACCCCCCCCCCCCCCCCCCAAAAAAAAAAACAACCAAGGACAAATGTTATTTACCCACTTCACGAAAGCGAAACGCACGCCCTATCATCGTTTAAAATAGTACATCACAAATCAACTAGTGGCAGTTTTCGCGTTATTGTCGCGTGTTGTAAAATTCTTATACCTTTCACTTTTATTGTTATTTCTAACAAGGAGGCTCAATTTGGACCTGTTCGTGCCCATTTTATCCCTGGCCTTTTATCAATAGTTGTATACAATAGGGGCAAGACCCCTTTGAAAATTGTTGAATTAGTTCAAATAAATTGATTGCATATCATTTCCACGTAAGCAAACAGGTAATAAAGACAATTAAGAGATACGAGCGATCGTAACGACTTAGCTTAGCCGCGTCATATATATCTACGTACTCATGAAATGTGGCAACCAACGATGGCGCCATTGGCTCTTGTATAATTGTTGTAGTTTTCTTGCTGTCTGCCTGTTGTGAATTCCGCCGCGTTGCGTTTGTATGCCGCCATAGGCTCTATTTAGGTTTCCTGTCTGTCAGCCAGTCCCAGTTTATGACCATGCCCACACATGGAAACATCAACATCCCTTACCGCCGGCACATTCTGCTTTTTCTGACGCATCGGTACGTGGAAGATAATACATGCTACCATGATAGTGACGGTCGAATGGAGCAGCCGTTGCTCAAGCTGGGCCCAGCAATGGTACGCAATGAACATCATGATATATCGTGGAATTAAGGGGAAATACTGCCATATTTGAATACTACATTTTGAACTAAGCTTGTTAGCTATGATGGCCAATCTCACAGACAGTCAGCGTTCACGCTAGCTGCTCATGCAACGAACGGCATATTGAACATACGGAACTTGTTCGAACTCATATGACCGCGTGTATAATTTTGCGATCCCTATATTTTCCTCGTTTCCCTCACAGTTGCCTTTCGAAGAGTTTTGCTGTCGTCGATCTTTTTGGCAGCATCGACTGATCGAGCAGTCTCAAATGAGAAACATAATAATCATCAAAAGCATATCGCTACAGGTCCGTAGCCACAACGATATAAGTACTAGCCAGCCGCAGGACCACAACAGCCGCAGGACCACAACAGCCGCAGGGTAACACACGTAACTATTACCGCAACCGTCACGGCTACATCCATAATGAACGAACGACGAAGTTCTACCATGTTGTAATAATAACGAAATTTTACATGACGACCAGATGATTGACGTAAATGCCGAATAGAAAAGGAGCATTCGTTTGTTGATGAATGTGACGAGCCGTTATCTGTCGACGACGTTTAAAATGATGTCTAACGATACCCAGCGAACGGTCCAAGGAAACAGGATAATAATGCAGTTTAGAAGAAAGAGAAAGAAGGGGAATGCTTGCGAAGATGATGGCGTAGGCGGATAGCCTGAGACCGGATCCATCCGCCCGCCTGTCCGTCGAGACAATATATCCTCGAACGTAATGGCAGAATCAAGGAAAATTGTAACACCGATAACCGGCTAAACGTAACCAAGGGTAACGATAAGCATAAGTGTGATATGTAGTTATACCTGTTAACTTGTAGCAGTCATAGATACATAGATGAGTAGTGTAGACAGTCTTGTTAAGTGGCCCGAACTTGAATGCACGCTGAACTTAAGCGCGGTTAGCGAGGTAGCGATAGTTAGAAAACGGTTAACATTTTAATGGCTAGAAGCCATTGCTCGTAGCTCGCCTTTCATATTCGGCTAGCTGCAACTGGGCATCATCGAGTCGCTTGATGATTACGGTCGGTCGCTTGACGCTCGTTATCAATCCTCGGCAGCGATTAACCCCTCGACGAGAATCGAGAATAACACCGTTCCGGTAACAAGGACTCAACGAAGAGTTGGCAACCGTCAAACTCATGATACTGATTATTTCTCGGTTGACGACAGGCTTTGCGGCAGTGCCTGGCGAAGTGAGAGCAAAAATAGAAGTGGCTAAAATACGCTCGAGAGGGTGCGATTCAGCCCAAAACAAAGTGTAGGAGCCAAGAAGCCAGCCTTATAGAAAAATGAGACAGAAACGAAGGGCAATCCATCGTCAGCACTTTCGCTGCACCAGCAGCATTAACGCAGTCGTCAAAATAGCAACGAAATCATCGCAAAAATCATCATCGTCAGCGTCATATCTTTATTGTGATTGTTATTACCAAGATGAGTAGTATTTTTATTTTTTTTTTATGCTGACTCTCATGACTGCAGCGACCGAGCCTACAACCGTTAGCTAGGGTTACATTGTTTCAGAGCTAATTCACATCATCAGTATTAACCGGATGGAAGAACTGCGGCGTTTGAGACGTCCAATCCTTCTGCCGTTGATGCCGCTGCCAAGGATCTCGTTACGATGGTAAAGACTGACATTCGAAGAACAACAAGCTACTTCTGTGCTAGATATGTTTTCCCAGTTGGCTGCGGCTGTTGTTGTTGTTACCGTGGGTAGCGGCGCTACTACCGCTTTGCCCACCTTTTGTCGACAAAAATGACAGAAGTATTAAAATTAGAAATGTTTTGTAATTATGGCCGTTGTTCGTAACGCCACTGCTGCAGTTGCTGCTACTACAACAAGGGCTTTGGCCCTTATTACGGTAGGACGGTAGTTACTGCCATTTAAAAATGCGGCCTGACGAACAAATGCCCCCGGTGCGAGAACAACAACAAGAGTAACAAGTACACAGCGCAATGGGATAAAACAAGACGGCAAAACTACGGCTGCACGGCGGAAGATTGCAGGCGACAGAAAATCGCCTCACGCTTTCAGCTTTTTGTTCGTATAACGTCTCTATCGTAACAAGACAAATTGGCTAGAAATGACTGTTTGAAAGATTTGGTCGTGCTATTTTCTGTGTAGGTGTTATACATACGCCAATGGCAAGCCGATAATGTTGTAAACACGTATATAGCAAAACGTAATGCATTACTGGCAACCTCTAAGCCATGTGCATGGCTTAGAAGCTGCCAATAATGTGTGGCACGGACACCATTGTAGGAAAACAGCGTATGGTCGATTTGTGGTAATTTTTAGATGAATTTATTACACGTATCAGATCAATAGAAAAATCTCTCAGTACAGAGCTGATTGAAACAAACCCACTTCTTTGTTCGCGAGTACCAAAGATTATACTAACTGCTATGCGTAAGTTTCTATGAAGCCAAGCAAAATAGCCACTTCCACGCATCGCTTGATCTCGAAAAAATCCTGCTTGATAATAGTATTTTTTTTTTAACCGTTTCCGAGTACCTTTTCATCGTCTGGCTCTGTTTTTTCTGTTTGTAGAAAGCGACGCTGGTCTGGGGTGCAGGCGGTGCAGACGGCGGACTGAAAACGACCGCCGGTGTTGGGGTGGCAAGCGTCGGTGTCACGGGGGGTCGAATGTCACCTTCATCTGGCCTGGTCCACTGGATGTCTGTGATGGCCGACCATGCACCTCCAGCTCCACCTCCACACGACTCGGTATCACCTCATCATATGCCACCGCATTACGTCTGGCCAACGACGACGACCGCCAATGGAGTCGAGGTAAGTGCAGCACTATCTGCGTTTAGGTAGACCTCAATCGTTACTTTGCTTTTTTAATTTTACATATAAAAATAAGTCCGACAGGTAGAGGGAAGGAAACGAAAATCGATGGATAACAGCTTCAAAAGGTACTGTTTATTGATTTTAGCTTTATCAAATGATGTCAAGGTAAGCTAGAGGTAGTAGCTAGGTTTAGGTAATCAGTCGATTCGAATCTAATGGGTTTCCTCTGATTACGTCCGTGTGTGTATGATAACGTAGTTGCACCTCTGTCCAGTGTTAAGTCAATAATGCCTACTTAGTATCACTAACCTCACATTGTATTTGTGAAACACATTGTATTTAGGCTAATTTCTTTGCTATCGAGTGTAGTTGTTCTGATTGTGTCCCTGTCGTAGACCGCCTGGACAGGGAACAAAGCGACGAGAAAAAGTCCAAGGAACTTATCATCGAGCATGTTCTTTCATGTTGAAGTATGCTGTTCTTGAAAAAAATGACCATGCTGAATGAAAGCGTTAACTTTCGTCAATACATATTTCCTCTTCTTTTTTTGCCTCTAGCGATTCTAAGGCAAAAGGGCGCCGGCGTTAGAATACGCGCTTTACCTTAAAATAACACATAGCGCTGGAAGAAATCTAGATAGATGCACATGGTGCGGTTACCTCGCGGTAGCTTGTTAGTCAAAGACCGGTTCATCGTGTCCTTCTAGCAGTCCTTCTGGTGAATGGTATCCAATCATTGACAGCTTTCATTTGGGCAGGACAGCGGAACACTAACGAACTCAGGACCTCTTCAAATAACCTACCTTTAGGTATATACGGTAATGTTCCGGCTATGCGAGCTCTGTGGCGACATAGCCGAGAGGATTTAAGGTGACGCTGTGTAAAATTGGGAGACCCGCTTGCTTGTTTATCTGACTAAGTAACGGAGCTGGCGACTGCCTTCGGACTGTGCCGTGTCTATATAGGCGCGAATACGCGTGCGAACTACAAATAGAGAGTGGAGAATTGACAGCAGTGCGGGTCTGGCTGGATTAGTAGCTAGAACAGAGCTGGAGAACGTATTGGGTGACCCATACCAATCGATGCTACATAGGCATTGGTGGTGATCAGCTATGAGAATCTATGTCGTTGTCTGTTGGGGAGAGCCTGGAAAGTGTTAAAAGGAAGTAGATACAGCAGCGCTGCTAGGAACGGTCCTGCGGCCAAACATTTCATTTTTCTTTCTTCATTTCGTTTTGTCCTTTCCCAAGTCGCCTACGGGTCGACCCAGGTTTTCTCCCTCTCGCTCCGTCATCGATTCGCTTTCCATTGAACTCATCTTTCGTCGATTTTTCTTGATCAACGTCGGGCTGATTCGCGACCCTATTACGATCCAGGAACTAACTATCGTACAGATAGAACCAATGTGTATGGCAATGTCGATGTCAATTATCAATAGTTACGCAGTTTTTTGTATACCATTCGGTTGATGAACCATAGTAGTTTATTCATAAACGACGAGTTTGCGAGCTAGGAAAGGTCATCGTGGTCCACGACAGCGAGAACTTACGGACGAGGAACTCACCGGCAATCAACACGTAAATTAGTGCCTGTGTGCGTACAGATACAGCTGAGTCTAGTGGAGCTGCAAATAAGCCGGTTCCATTTGACTAGAAGACGACGGGAGCGTTTCGTTGGGGACGGTGAGCGTGCTGATATGATACATCCTGCTATTCCTTCATGTATCATCACTCTGGTGACTATTGCGGATGTCAGCTAGTACAGTAAACTCCGATCAGATCGTCTGGGTTTACATTTCAAAGTGTAGAAAAACCCACAAATCAAAGAGCTTTTTTTTTCCTGTTACGTTTGCGTCGCTGTCCCAGTAGAGAAAGGTACCATTGCTTTTACCGTATCGCCAGTACATACATAGAGCTCATGGTGTTATTTTCCTTATGTCTCTACCTTGTTGATGCATGAAGTTGCTCGCGCTGCTCTTTGTATCAGTGTTGCCAGCACATATCTCCCTGGTTTCTTGTTTGCTTCTTGTGTTCGTTAAACGAAGCGAACTTTTTTTTTGTAAAGACCGAATATGTCGGGACAAACTAACATGGAGACATATGAAAGCCAACAACGATGCGGACGAACGCCATAGACCAAAAAAGAGGCGCGCGCAACTCGAATGCCGACTGTTTTCCTGTGCCTGTTCTGTCGCGATTTCGGCCTAGTGAATCTCGACATCTTGCCACTCGCATCGCCGCTGTCCTATCTACATCGTCGCAGGAAGCGCAGTTAGAAGGTGGTGATCTCTTGGGACAGCGAGAAGACTACTCTAACAGATAAAACCACTGAGGAAGCAAGAAAAAGACTGGAGTAAACGAAGCAGCACGTCATGAAGTACACAATTCCTTTTAAAGCTTATCGGTCAAAAAAGATGCCACATGAAAGAGCTGTTGTCATGTTTCAAAACCACACGGATATTATGTTATAGCTATACTCTCAGAAATTTGTTCTCAGCTACTGTAAGTGCTCGAACATAGAAAAATTGCTAAGCAAGATGGCCATTTTATAGTGTCACGTAAGATATAGTGCATAATTATTATAGAAGATAGGTGATAATTTATAGCAGCTTAAACAACGACAGCTTGCAGGGTACTAGAACGTTTGGAATGTTACGCTTAAATGAGGCTGGGATAGTTGAGTTCAACGGGGGGCAACCTCATTAGCTCATGTGATGTATTATATATTTCCAATCAACGATGGAGCTCAGAACATAAAGCCGTTTAGAAAAAAACTATCGGAGCGAGAGCCTAACTCAAGCAATCGACTTCAACTTGAGCTTCATCGAAGATAAATATCTGCGTCAACCCTGTGCTATCGATAAGTGGAGGTCCGGCCTAGGAAGAACAGAATAAATTCCAAAAAAAAAAAGAAGTACCCTACGTACGACATGACAAACAGGTCAAGCTGTTTAAAGTACTTTCAGTTAAATTAGCATTAAAAGGTTAGTATTCTGCGAGAAATGATACTCTGCATCTTTTCTGCAGGCACGTCTTAAGGCCTGCTTTACTGTCTAAGACTCTTTACTGCCAAAGACTCAACATGTTTTCCATTTGTTGGGCTAACAAGATTCCTCCAGTTAGCTTTTGGACTGCAGTGCAATGTAGTATACTGGTCACCTTTTAATTATCGATTTGAATCACTATATACGAGAATGAATCATATTGGCCAGAGTCGTCTTATGTAGAAACAGTAGGTTTTGACAGGTTCATCGAAGTTTATCTTCTTATCAGCTGGACTTTGTTTGAACTTCAGAAACTAGGAGTTTGGCAAAAACAACGCGTTACGATTGGGTTCAGACTCTTTGGCCTTAAGAAGAAATCTATTAGATTTAGATCGACATGGTTAATTTGGCTTTTCTTCTTCGAATATCTTGGCTGGTCTAAATTAAAGAAAGGTTTGCAAAAAGGCCGTTTTTTTGTGTAAAAACATTGTTCGTCAAATGACCTAAATTATTAAATGTGACATTTAATCATATAAGAGTAATAAGCAAGTAAAGTATTGCGTCTCCCGTTCCGTTCAGCCGCATCAGGTACACTTCTTTACTATGCTAATGTAGAACTCATGTTATGTCGGTTACACCAACAACATTAAGTTGTCACCCAAAGCAACAATCAATTATCTCTTATGCTGCTGTTATTCAAAGCTGTTTATTGGGCTAGTTTGGTCGTATTTCTCTACCAACTAAGACATACACAGATAGAGTACCAGCTTGAACGCCCTAAACCACAATCTGTGACCACCATCAAGTACGTGGTTTTAAGCTCATGATACCATCGAATCCGTATGTTTTAACGTGTTGAAATGCGGTCGATGTTCGTAGTCCTTCTGGACCATCCAATTCGATTAGCGGTCAATTCTGTTGGACTACTCTTGGACTTCATTCACTCACTAGCCTATTGCTAGCTAGTGGCGAGCTCAGAGCGGAAGTCCTCTCGCCGCCAGCTGCATCACTCGACCACTGGCTCTGTGGGTTCTGCAGTCCCTGAGCTGCCTGAGGTACTAGTCTCGCGCTCTTCAGCTTCCCTCATTCTTTTCGTACTTTGGAGCTGAACATCAGCCTCCAGCCGGAATGATTTGAAGCTCGAGGGTTGCTCAGGGGGGTCCTCGACTTGGCGGACTCGTCGATCTCCGAGCGACGGCCTGCACTAGCTAAATCGCTTCCGCACCTCGCGCGACACTAACCTGAACGGTCAGTATGGTACCGATAGTTCAACGTACAACCAGATCAGCGTTGAGTTGGCCGTTTCTTTCGGCCTCTCGCCACGAAAATGAGGAAGACAACCGGTAGTGCAGCCAGGCGAGGAGGTCGGAGTAGACAGCCTTAGGCTAGGCTTCAGTGTATAAATGCTAACCTGAGGTCGTGGTCGCAAATCTCACACAATAATCAATTGAAACATACTGGATCCATCGAGCATATCATAAGAACCCATTGCCGCCATCTCGCTTGCTGTTAAGTCTATTAGACTGATCAGACATTGAAATTGCTTTTTATTTTGTTTTGGATCATGGAAATGATATATCGTGAAGAAGGTAGACGGACACCTATGCATTGAGAGTTCGTATCCACGTATGAGAGATGTCGCGGACTATATCAGTATCAAAACGACTCACACATGTCTGCGCAGTCATTTTTATAAGAGTGAGGATTCTTCTACTAGAAAATAAAATTAAAAAATAATTCACGCTTAACGACAGTTGTCGGTCACAGCATGAACTCGGGGCATATTGGTAAATTTCATTTCCAGTCACGTTAGCCACATGATAACGTGTCTCACTGTTCATCGGCAACGTTCGTCAGGTCGCTTGTAAAGTCGCCTAGACTTTATTCATCCATCATGCCCGATGCCCAACATCCTTAGCAGTTCCAACATTATCAGCATAACTGGCTTTACATCACGTCAGATTCAACGAAGCCAACAGCAGGAGAGCGGCGAAAATTCTGTCTGTGGCGGGGAC